CTCAGAGATCATAGCCATCAAAGATCTCATAGCTCTCATCGCTGTCATAGTCCGATGCAGTGACCCTTACACTGCGCACCAAGGCGCATCTCATCCCATTCTTGTTGCGTCATGCCTATTTATTGGCGTCGACTGCTCATCTGCTTCTACCAATGCCTGAAGCGCATTCACTGCTCCTTGCCCTGGTCCACCTGCTATTCCAGCTGTCGTGAACTGTGCTTCCACATCAACGTGTCCTTGCTCGTGGGCCACCTTGGCATGCCCTTTGCCGCTACCAGAACTGTTTCCACTTTGTCGGCTTCCATCCTGGGCCATAGTAGAGTCTGGGGTGGAGAAATCCGTAGTCAACGTTGACAGCGTCGACGACAAAGTTCCACTCGACTCTTCACCAGCAACAGCAGTTGCAATGCAGCACGGGGCGCCATTGTCCGTGGTGGTCAGGACAAGCAACACCAAGCCACCTTGCCAACTCCATGGCCTGCCGCCCTGCCACCCTGCCACCCACCTGCACCCAGTGCACTGGTTCACTTCCTGGTGGCGTGCCCCAACTTTTCTCAGTCTCCCGTGAGTGCTTCTAGAGCTTGTTGGAGTCCATCAGGCGCTTCAGACCATCTCTCTGCCGGGGCGTAGGTGGTGGTGGTTTTGCAATGAACTTCGTCGTTGGAGCTCTTGCTCGCGGACGAGGTTGCATAGACAGGGGACGCAGCTCGCTCCATCCGCTGAGAATGTATACCCAGTCCACCGTCCCTCCATCTTGTTATCGTTGCGGTCCTCCCTTGTCGCGGGTTCCAGCCACGTGTCCTCCGTTGGGCGACCAGGCAGTTCACCGCCAATGTACTTGATCGTCACACGACGGCCAGTCAGCACTTGCTCGTCCCGCAATGGGTATGAACTGTGGATTGGATGGCACCTCTGGTACCTCATCTTGCAATGAATGCGCACCACGAAGTTGTCCACAATCTGCCATCGATCAGTCGATCCTGTCGGCGGCATATGGAACGGAGGGCGCCACCATGGTTCGCGCGGTCTCGCACGCGGCCTTCGTCATCTTGACCATTGCGCGCGGGCGAGTGGCGGTGTTGTGGTCACTGCCCGAACCATCACGGGAGCCTTCCAGGCTAGTGGTGAGAGGATGGGTTCCCGCTCATGGTCAGGTCCGATCTTTTTTGTTCTTTTTTCTGTCCCGCCATGGGTTCATTCTGTGCCCTCACGATAGTCTGACCTGCCTTGCAAGCAGGTCCCCCCAGGGCCACGGCCACTAGGTCCACCAGCTCCGCTTGCAAACAATGCCACTGCATGCAGGACTGCCACAGCACCACGAACGACCGTTTGACCGGGCTGTCATCACCTTTACCTGAGCAGGACGCCGGCTCTTGCATTCCATCGTGGCAATCTGGCCCCATCAGCTGCTTTGTCAGGCCGTCTGCCGGCAGCTGTGGACCTTTCACATGGTGTGGCCATCCACTAACTTCACAGCCAACGGCTGCCCTCAGTCCTGCTGCAGGAAGACGAAGATGACGGGCCCGCCAGGCCCCAACATCATACAGTGACCGCCTCACGTTCTCCATGCCCAGGACCTCAACCCCTTCGGCCTGTTAGTCGACCTCCGCTTCTGCTGTCGAGCGTGGCTGACGTGCTGAACTCCGCAGGACCGGGCAGCCTATAGGACCATCACTATAGTGCCACGCACTGACTTGTGCCCTTCTGCTGCTGGTGCAAATGATGCGTCTGCGTAGACGTCAGACCTGCCTCGTTCTCACCAAGGGGGCGATCACCAACTCGCCTGAAGTTGATGCCACGATCAGCGGTGCCCTTCAGAAGTACGTCAACAAGGCCCTAGCGTGTTCACAGTTCACAGAGTTCTTTTGGCCGCCGATAGCACGGCTGAGCACACCAGTTGCATGACAGATATCGGGTCTGCTTCTGCAAGTGACCCACTGGAGTTCACCCACAAGCGTTTGCGCCTCCTCAGGGTTGCAATGTCAAAGTTCTCATCCTCCGCCTCTTGAAGCACCGTTCCTCACCACACTGACGAGCCATCGATGTTCTTCTTCTCGCAGAGGTCGATAATGTATAGTGATGCAACTTGTAGCCATCAGATGCGCGAAGTACTTGGAAGCCACAGAATTTCAGCTGGTTCCTCAAAGACCTGGCTTCCTGAGCACTCCCAGATACTTTGAACCTCCTGAAGCAAGGCTTGAACTTCCTCAGCAGGCCCACTGCAATGAGATCGTCCACATACGTCCGCAAAGGTCCACCACCTTCCAAACATTTGCCTCCGCCCGCTGTTCAAGCTGTCGATGCTGCGTAACACACTGCCATCGGGCTTTTCTCAAGCAATGATTGCGACGGCGTGTCCAGTCCTCGGGAGACTCCCGCAACCCATACAATGCTCCTTCGGCTGCCCACATCGTTCCGGGAGGAACAATCCCGAGTCGAACAACCATGAGGTGGTTTCACCAGCGTCACACGATGAGCTGCACTTCTCTTAATACGTGCAGGAATGCACTCTTTATGTCCGTCGAAACGCACGCCCAGTTTCGCTGGCTTGCAACCATCATCAACACCCTTAGGCCAACAGCATCAATGCCACCAGTTGAAGTTGTCACCGTCTCATCAGGCGTGCCACGTTGCCACAGTCAACAATCCTTGCCTTTCTTCTGCCGCAAGGCGCCTTCCGGCTGCACACGAGCTGTCCAACTTCTCGACCTCCTTAGGTGACTTTCCCACCAATTTCAATGTCCCAGTGTTCTCTAGCACTAGCACCTCGCTTTCCACTGGCGGTGCCCAACATTAGTTCTCCTCCAAGATCTGTTTGGTATCTTGAGGCACTGCTTCTTTCTCCCCCGTTGCTGCAGCCTTCATAATGTGAGTGAGCTCGCGCTGGTTGTCTTGCACCCGCCGGTCACGCCACATGGCGTCCCTCTGCAACTGCTGGATACAAGTTCCAGTTTGGTCATCATGGGAGATGCTCACTGCCAATTCATCCGCCATTAGTTGTTGAAGACCTCGACGAAGCATGTTCACCACCTCCATCTCCTTTGTGTAGGCGTCTCACACACCTTGCACTCCACCTCCTTCTTCAGCTTTTGAAGTCCACACCCCTGACATTCTTCAAGCTCTTCATGGCCACCCAGAGTCAACACTTTCTGAGTTTCCTCATCGCTGCATTCACTTCCTCCCCCCCCAGGTCGTCGACCAGGTTGATGAAGTCGATGAGCTGGTTGCTTGCCACGCAGCCTATTACTATACCGATACTCCACTACGTCATCTTCCTCCACCGTAGTCATCAGGCCTCGAAGTCATCCGCAAAGGCATGATCACCACTTTCATCGGGGCATGCAGTTTATGCGGCGAAGGAGGTTGCGCCACGTCGTCGGACACTTCCCAAAACTCTGCAGCCTCTTTCAACTGATTCGCGACAGTGTGGATCGTCATTATTGCGGGGTGCTCCGTGAGCAGTGAGTTCAGCTGCATCAGCACTATCTCGCTCTGGTCTCATTGGGCGGCTGCACCACAACTGTGGTTCGGAACCCGTGCCCGTCCACCGTGTTCATCCAGTAAGCGCCTGCTGACGACGCCATGCCCTCCGTCAAGCCCAAGACAACAGCCCACCATGGCTTTGCATCCGTAAGGCACAAGTTGTGGGAGGTCCAATCCCAGTGCCCGGAGCTGACCTCGATGACGTTCTTCTGCAGCATGCCTCAACGCTGTGGGCCAATCACGAATGGAGCGCCCAGCCGACCGCAGCAACGCTTGTGTGGCACACCCACTTCAATCTCAGCTCTGGTGTTCCCAGTAGGCTCGTCCCCTGCTGCGTAGCAATGATCAAGGTCTTGTGCAGCAGTCCACTCCCTGAAGCGTTTGCTGACAAATTCTTTCGCTCGATCTGTCTTGATGCGAAACACAGGGACCTGCAACGCACGATACCGTGCAAACAACTTTGAAGTGGCCGCGATCACTGTGGCCTCCTTTCTGTTGAGAAAAGGAGCAGCAGAGGAAGAAGCATGGCCGCTGTCTGTAGCCAAGCGCTGGACAAAAGAGGCTGCCTTGTCAGCGTTGCCCTTGATCGAGATCTGGGGCCCCTGGAACTCCAGGGAAAGTGAAAGTTCCTCGTCTTCTCCTGGGGAAGGTGGCGAGCGATTTGCTCATTCACGTAGGCTCGAACTCGATCAGCTGGTGGCGAAGAGCCAGGTGAGTGGTGCCCAAACCAAGGCACCGAGGCCGGGAAAAGTCCAAGGCCCCAAAAGCACAGAGCAGCTGTGAGCAAGATGCCGCTAAGAAGTCCAATGACGAAGCTGGCAGCCAAGGCGAAAGGTCCAGCCGAAAAACAATGGCTGGGATACCCCAACCCCCACCAGTTGCTCTGAGAACCGGAGATCAGGAAACTAAGAGCTTTTGGGGCCCAGTCCATAAAACTACACCTGAGTCTTGAGCGACCGATGCGAAAATCAACCTTAGTGAATGCAACGTCATTGGTCAAGAGTCAAGGGTTCACACTTAGAAAGGTACGTACTGTGCTGGTGAAGGGGTGCGATTACGGGGTTTCCTTAAGGCACACCCGCGGTAGAAAAGGACAAAAGCTATATTTTTGCTGCAGTACCCAAGTCACTGAGGTATGTTTGTATTTTCCGGCCTTGTGGTTACAGTAAGCCCCAATCCCTGGTATACACGCTATGATGAAAAACTTTCTTGGCCGTTGTTTTGTCCTCAATGTGTTGATGCAGGTCTCTTCATGTCCTTTTAGGCATTGAAGGCGAAGTGGGTTGTTTTCATGATGCATTGCTGATTGACACAGTTTCGTCAAGTGTTTGGTGGACCAACGTTTCTTTTTGGCAAGCACTATGGTCACTATAGATTGAGTCGCGCAAAAAGTATATACAGTAACTGGATTTCTGACTAGCACCGCAGGAAACCACCCCCTGGCTAACAGTTTCCCAAATCTTATCACAAGCTCAAAGCTATGATTCTGAGACAAATATTGGCAAGCTGGACCATGCCTCGTCATCCGGCTTTCCCACTTGCTGGCGGCACATCGGACAATCTACCTCAATCTATCTGAATCTTAACTGACACCATGGCTTCTGAAGACAAGCCACGCTGTTTGGAGGCAAGTCACGTGATTCTTGCACCATGTCAGGAGGCATTCCTGGCAAAGCTAGGCAACAGCCTGAATTCCTTCTTATCTATATAAACAGGCCTAGCACGTGGGACCTAGGACCTAGCACCTCTTCCTTCACAGAAGGCCCTAGGACTAGGCCAAAGGGGTACCAGTTGGCGACGTTGGCAGCCAAAACAAAAATTTGCCGAGACAAACCAACTGAACGAAAAGAAGAACATAAGAAGAAAACGAATAGCCACAAGTGGCCACAAGACCTGTGCCTGATGAAAGTAGTGTTTGCATGGTGGCCGTACCACTTCTCCTCCAGGCTCTGCAAGAGCCTTGGAGTGAGGATGCCGCACGAAAGCGAAGGAAATATGCAATATTGCCCAAGTCTTTAGCTGCAACTGCAGACCAGGAAACTTCCATGCAAATGGGGCAGTCCATAATCTGGCCGTCGTTATCTATCCTTGCACAGGATTCCGTTGTTCGATTGCAGCAAGAATTGCAGCAAATGTTTTAGTTCAAATTGTCTGCCACCCAAGCAACAGTTCTTCTGATCCTTTCGGTACAGTGGGCAAGTCCCGTACCTTACGAACAGAGCTCCAAATTTGATAGGACAAGCTCCACTGAGAGCTTCAGCTGACGGAGGTCAACCAATCCAAGCCGCTGCTTTGGTGCACCCAGGCTGCTCGTTCAGCTGGCTGACCACCAGCAACAGGTATCGCAGGCTGAAAAAGCCTTCTGTGGAATTCAATTTCAGGAAAGGTTGGCGAAGCCGCAGAAAGAAATGTAAACCAACGCAATCAGTGTCTGCCATGATTCCAAGCACTGTAAGGAGGCAGGTTATCAGCGCAACCGCGATCCTCAGAAGCTCCCATGACTGACTGTTATGACTTGTGGCTTGTAAAAAGGTGTCACAAAAGCAATCCGAAAGAGCCGAGCTCTGCAGGTTTTCCCCTGCCGAGCGTCTGGGCATAAACAAAACGCTGCAAAGGAAAGAATAGATTTGGATTCCTCAGTTTCCATCGACTGGTGCGGTGAGGCCGAATCTCTTGCGCATCCGCAGGCAGCCGAAATTGTCAACATGTGCCTTCGGCTGCTAGCTAGCCACGCCGAGATGCGTCTTGGGGCAGGATTGTGCTCTTTGAATCATGTATACCTTGCAAGTTTGTTGCTCAATATCCGACGAATGTAGACTCTTGATTTATAAGACCTCCCCAATTATACTTGAGAGAGGAGGGGGGTGAACGAAAGGTAGCAGGGAATCAGGCGTTATCCGGGAGGAGGTGAGAGGCCCCCCACTTGTTTGAAGAGAAGTGACTGAGCGTGATGAAAAAAAGCTAATGCACAAACTAATCACAATCACGTCACATATTTCTCAAATGCAACCTCGGATTTACATAGTGACGTGCTGCGACCCTGTAAATTGCGTGGCCGCAGGCCATGCTTGCAAACAGGACGAGCTCAAAAACACTGGTATTTACGAGGTTTTGTTGCCGTCGACCCACAGCCGCGGCAAGGTCTAAGGCCACGCTTGAAGACAGGAGGAGCTGAAAACACTGGTATTTACGGTGTTTTGTAGCCGTCGATCCAGAGGCGCACCACGGTTGTGTGCTGGAAAAGCGCAGAAAACCGTGTAAATACCGGCGTTTTCTGCCGGGAAGGTGCGCAAAACCCTGTAAATACAATAGTTTTGTGCAATTTTGAAGCCTCCAAAAGCCTCAAAATCCCTTTCCGACAAAATCTTTCCTGGCTTTTGGTCTTTTTTCAGTCATTTTTCTAACCGAGACGCATCAAAAACCATCGGTTTTTGCGGTGTTTTTTGCCGGACAGCCACAAAAAACGCTGTAAATTCCATGATTTTTTGTCACTGTTGAGGACTGGAAGAGCTGAAAACACTGGTATTTACCGTGTCTTCGGACCGTTGACCCCGAGGCGCGCCAGGGTGAAGTTGAAAGGGGGGCCCCCCCCCCCCGGCCATCAAACGAAGATGTCGGGGACCATTTCTCTGAGAGATAGGCTCCAGCTCTGAGTATAATACATTTTTGCTAAAGCAAAAGGAAAACTCAGGTAGCGTAACCACTACCTTTCGTGATAAGAGCTTGTACAATTCAAATGGTTTATATATATATATATATTGAATCAAGATTATACACTACTAAGCTTGCTTCAACAAGTGCCCATTTTACAGACCAGTTGCACCATACGCCAAAATGCCCCAACCTGGCAGGTCAACAAAGCTTGGGGCCAGGAAATGCTCAGCAGTTTCCACCAACATCAGCCCTCACCTGGTATGCTCAAAGCTATGCTGACCTTAGGAGGGGAGACGAAAAACAAACGCTTTTGGATTCTGGATCAACAGAATGTCTTGCCCATGAAGACGAACAAGTATTACTTCATACTTATGCAATACCACCCACCAGCACAGGCTGCAACCACCGATCCAGTAAAATAGTGCAAAATTCCGGTTCTGGACAGAGATGCGTCCGGATTGTTTCAGACATGCTGCAAGCATTGATGTGAAAGGTCCACGATCAACCAGTTGGCGGCGCACACAAGATAGGATCCATGATTGCACCTGAAAAGGAGACATAGAAAGCTTGTCGCCGTCAGAGCGAGGCTGCAATGCAAATAACCGAAGGCTGGAGTCTCAAAAAAGTTGGCAAAGCCCACCTGACTCCATAGCAGCGTTGCTACCATGTAGTACTTAAGCGGCTCGTCGCATGGTTTGCCCTTCAGAATGCTTTCGAAAAGCAATCATTGACACCTCTGCGTTCTGTCTCACACCTGATTGAAAAGAGTAGCAATGATGGCTTGCACCTAAGTTCCGCAACCACCCTTCCAATCTGTAAGCTTCTCTGCATCAATCCCAGAGCAGAAAACTCATGCCACGGCGCAAAAAGGACTGTTACAGTCACGCACGCCGCCAACATGAGCACTAGCAGTATAACCAACCAAACCTGGACAGCAATGTCTCAAGCACGGCCCTCTACTAGGAACTCACAACGACCGGAAACCTTGCGATTCGTGGTTGGTCAATCATTCCCCGGCCTTGCACAAGCCCACAATGCTCATGAACCTGAGTCGCGCAGCAAAACCTGGCAAAACCTACGTATCTGTGGTTCGGGTCCACTGAGGCAAAGTTAAAAGGCACACACACACAAACATCACAAAGCTGCTTCTCAACTTGCGAAGCCAATGGCTCTAGCACCAAGCGCTGCTGCACTTGCTCTGCCTCCTTGGCGATATAGCACTCCCAAAAGGGCGTTGTACATATATTATACGTATAAGTCCCTTTTAGTATGCTCGTGTCTTTTGGGGACCTTTGGGGGCTCCCATGCGAGGCACGCGTCACTCAAGAATAAAGTTTATCAAAGCGCATGTCACGGTCTCCTGGCTTGCTTCCGCTGGACATGTGCAGAAAAACCACCAATGAACTGGCACAAGTACACTCTGCGCACTCCAAACCCTGCGCAACAAAGCTGCTCCCTCAAGGACTAGCGGCACGGCTGCGGCGGGTGTCTCGCAGCAATGGCGTCTGCTCGGGCCCCTGCGACCGAGGTGGCAACACAGCAGCACCAGCCGTGAGCGTTGAAGTGGCACCAGCCATGAGCAGCCTCCAATGGGCAGGAGACACTTGAACACTTCCACACTGTTTATGTTGCATATAGCCTAGCATGTTGTAACAGTTTCTCTGAATCGTTTTCGGAAACCCTCACTGCGCTTCGCACTCATACATGCACACTCTCACCCTCTGACTAAATCTCTCACATTGCTCGGGATCGTGAGGCGAACCAATCAAGATACACACAACCCTTTCTCGGAGGGTTCCATGCATATGAGCTTGGTAAGGCCACACCGTGCATCCACGGCAAGAACTGCATCAATCAAGGACTCATGGCCTCACTCTATTTAACTCTATTTACATATAGGTTTTTGGATCTTCAACTGATCTTAATGGACGACCTGAGTCGCAAGTCATGTGTCGGCTTCTGACAACCAGCAGCCCAAAGAAACCATGACAGCTCTAGCTGTCGAATCGTGGGACGGTTGCTTATGCACAAATTCGACTGGGATTGACTGGACTATCCTTGATATATATATATATATTTAAATATAATTGACCACAAAGTTGTGAAAAACCACGGAAGAAAATGACGAGCTGCGAGGCTTCATAAAGTCACCCCTTTAGTGGCCATCTGTGCCCAAGCCTGGCACTTTCCATGCGTAGTTGGATCTAGTGATCTACTGGTCTGTGATGAGTTGCCCTGTTCTGTGGTAGTGATGACCTTTAGTTGAAGTTCTTCAGCACGTCTATTATCTGGAGTCGTCTGCTTTGGTCTAGCCGATCAAAGCAAAACATGTGGCTTTGCACAGAGTCTGTCTTGGTTTCTGGTGACCGTGGTGATCCATGCTAAAAAGTGGCAATCCGCGTGGCAATCTGCGCTGTTTCGTGCCTGTTCACCTCTCGGTGGCTTTTGGCAGTCTACGATGCTGAGGTCAGTTTCTGGTAGTTTTTGTGGGATTCTTGCCGGTTCGTGATGATTTGTGGTGATATGTGATTTATTTCCCCAACGATCCGTGGCGGTGATCTGTAGGGACGTCGGGTGATTCGAGAGTCTTTGTGGCCATCCATTGCAAATTCAAACCGCCGATTTGTCAATACATCTGCCGACGACCGTGATGAGGCATTGATCCTTTATGATCTCTGAAAATGAAAGCAAACAAAGATTGAGTGAACTCGTTCGATTCACTGCGCGCGAAGTGGGGGAGAGGGGTACACTTTCTTGTGACAGTGCGAAGTGGTCCACGTTGAGATCTCCGAAGCGCGGACCCAAACGAATGCACATACAGCTTGGCATCGCGCGTGGAATAGCCACAGCTTCCGACGGAGCAGCCAGGCGGAAACGCAGAAAATGTTATAGTGGTGATTCAATGGGCCGCCCTAAACATCCTTTATCTGCGGATGCCAACTGCAATGCCAACCACTAATAACTGGCAAAACAACTCACCCAACTTCACCGGTTACAACCCACTCAGCATTGTCAGTCGTGTCCTAACCAACAAACCCACAAAGTTTGGAGTGACTGGCCGGACGGCCAAGGCCAGCAAAGTGTTGACAAAAAAATATCTATCCGTCTATCTATCTATCTATCTATCAAGCCTCTCGTACCAAGCAGTCCAATAGCGGACACGAAGTCGGCGATGATTTCCCTCACTCCGCCATGACTCGGTGGCAGCTGCTTCCTTTGCACTTTTTGATCTTGGCCACTTGGGCCCGTGCATATCTGGAGGGCGCCCTTCAGCACTTTCTTGGGGGGATCACAACGAAGACTGCTGGCACGCTCGGTCCTAATTCCCAGCACCTTAGACCTGAACAGCGCCTTTTTTCCTTCAGGAGTTCTAAGGTGAGAGGTGAGGGTTGGGTTGGGACCGTCACCAGCCCTGAAGGGAGCTTCTCCTCCTTAGCTGACCGCATGGCTTCTCCCAAATTTGATGGTATTGGGCATGAGGTGTCCCACGGGACGAAGAAGTTACAACCTTTTTCCAAAATCACAAAAAGAAGCTACAAGAGATTTCTTCATAAGCTTCAAGTGCGTGGGCTGGCAACCTATCATGGCACGGTTCACATGCGTGCTCCGACTGCCAGTGCTTCCTGTGCACCTGCTGGACGATCGTGGACGATGACCTCCCGGAAGAAAAGAGCGCGTGCATCAGTCCTTAACTGGAACTGCGGCACCTCGCACTCTGAAAGCTATGCCGAGCTTCTGCGATGGGTTAGCTTTTTTGGCTTTGACATCATTCTGATCCAGAGCACTCACTGGAGCGCAGAAGAGGCTTGGCAAACGCATGCACGGATATACGGTGATATACGGCTCTTCCCTCTCCGGATGTGGCCTCAGGGGGGGTGGCCTTTTGCCCTTAGTCAAGCATTCGTTCTCACATGAACCAAATCAGCAATAGGAATCTCATTTCGGGCAGGATTCAGAATATTCGCTGCTATACCACCAAAGGTACGCTTGATGTCGTTAATGCGTACCAATTTCCAGTAGGCGTCACCAAGCTTCGACCACAGCCAATGGATTCGAGAAAACGCTTTTGGACTGCTCTCGATGGATTGATACGATCGTTGCCATTCCGAAACATTCTGATCATGGGCGGCGACCTGAACACCCCGTTTCATGGATCTGGATCGGCACCTGGTGACCAGAGAGCTCCCTGTGGGATGTAGTGCAGGTACATGGATTGAGCTCGCTAGGAGCACATGACAGCGCCTTCAGCTATGTGGGCCCCAGGGGCCAGAGTCATATTCACTTTTGGCTGATGCGCAAAGCTCAGACTGACTCAGCGTTCATGCCAGATGTCTAGTCGATTTTCCCCTTCTTGCCCACAGAGATTATCCTGACCACAGGCCTATTGTTGGATCCATTCCTCTGGGCTGGAAGGTGTGGTTGCAATCACCTCCACACAAGAACCAATGGTTCCAGTCCCACTCCAGCCGACAACTTGCACAGGACAAGCGGATCTCAGTGCTGCATGGCAACGAACGGTCGAGCAGACCCAGAAGGTGGTCCAACAGGCCGGCACCGACTCCTTTGACACACTGCTTCGACACATTGACGCTGTAACAAAACAACTGGCTACCCCACCACCAGTACCTGTATGGGCGGAGGAAGCCACCCAATCGTTGGTTGCCTCCAAGTGGAAGCATCTGGCCAAGGCCAGATCACCACAGGGAACTTTGCTGAAGCGTGTTTTCCATTGTTGGTCACATACGCGTTTCTTTCAACAGGTGCATCGTCAGTTGAAACAACATAGCAAAGAATGGCGCCCACAGGGTGTCACCCAGCGAATGCACGCGGTCGTCGTCTCCAACGTTTCTGACAGGGTCTCAAACCAGACTAGCTTACAAGGCGGCCTGTCTGCATCTGAAGCACGCTGCCAGTGGTATTTCCCAGCTCCGATGCCGCGCGGGCTGCGGCGCAACCGCGCCAGCGACACCGGCGAATTAAGTTGCTGCGCCGCTTCGGGCGCAACGGAGGCGGCATCTGGCCGCGCAGGCGCCCCGGAAGCGGCCACCGAGGCACGCGGACGGCGCGCACGCACGCGCGGCTCCTGGGACGTGCAAATATACATGTTAAACAAATGAATCAGGATCTGTACAGAGACCCGAAAGACGGGCGGAGACACGCAGCTGGCCGAACGCACAAACGGACCCAACCATGAGAAGAATTGCTCAGCCGTCTGCGCGTTCACCCCCTGCAGCGCAGCGTGGTGCGCGCGCTGCGCCTCCGGCGTGTACAGGGGATGGCTCCCGTCCAGGCAGCTGGTGTGATTCTGTTCATGAAAACTGTCGGGGACACAAGTCAAAGCAGCCAACGCAGCCGCAGTGGGCGTCCGCTCCTTGCGGACCGGGCGCCGCGCAAAACGAGCCAGTGCACACGCGTTGTCGTAAATCACATACTGGAGCGGTGGCCGTGCATCGGCGTCCTCCAGCGTCAGCGAAGAGAGCAACGCATACACTTGAGTCAGTGACTCAGCGTGCGCTAAAGGCACCGCGGAGCAAACCCGGCCGCAAGGGAGCGTCGCCACCAGCAAGCCTCCGTGAGACCGACGGGGCAGCAGCACGACCTTGTCGATGCCGCAGCCGCAGGGATTGACTTCGTCTGCTTGCGACCGAAGCTCCGTTTCCACAGCATCGTATCGGCAGGAACCTCAGGTTCCGCCGGTTAACGAAGCGGCAACACGTCGGCGTCTTTTGCGACGATCGCGTTGCTCGGCCAACCGCTGCTCATAGGCCGGGGTGGCAGCAGTGGAGAGAGCGGAACCCAAGCGCCACTCCGACGAGCCAACCACCTCGCACTTCAGAGAACGCGCTGGTCCGCCGCAGCCGCCAGCGCTCCGCCCGCTGCACGCGTGCGACAGTACCTGCGACGACGACGACGACGACGACGACGACGACGACGACGACGACGACGATGAAGGATGGTGCTCGGGCCGGAAAAAATGAGAACACAAATATAACCCGCAAGGCCCGAGAGAAGAAAACAAACCCTTTCAGGTACAGGCCCGGCCGCAAATGCCCGGGAGCAGGTCCATTCTGACATCCAGTCAAAGGAGACTTGCTAGTGCATGTCCATGTACACCATCCTTTGAGTTGTTCTGAAGCCCATTGCGGCCCAACTCCCACTTGCAGGTACCAAAAAGGAGTCGCCCGCTGTTGAGCTTTTGTCCATGGTTGCGCTCGGTTCCCTACCACAATAAGTGGTAGCGGAGCCCTGCGGGGCGTCCGTGTCGTGTGGTGCGCTGATTCGATCCAGGTCTAGTGTGTGGTGGGGCTACTATGCCGACGCGACCTGTCAGTCCTCCGAACCCGAGGCGGAGGAAGAAAGTGGGCTTTGTTGTTGACGATGACTCTCCGGAGTCGGGGCAGCCGCTTCAGCCAGCGGTGGATCGTGGGCTTGAAACCAGTGAAGCTGAGGTCGCTGCATGGGGAGTGAGCAAGTTGGGAGCCGCAAGCCAGCGGGTTGGCCGATCCGCCGCGGCTAGCGGAACGTCTTCTTCCTATGAGATGGTGGAAGAACCACCGTCGTCTTTTGAACCGCCTTCCATAGAA